ACCGTACGTCGACGCGCGCATTTGCCCATTACAGTTAGGTCATAGACTGGGAATCGTGGCGCGATGCTGCCGAGCGAAAAGCTGAAGCATGTAGTCAGATTTTACGCATGCACACGTCGCTTCCAGCCCGGCGCCGCTCACTTTGACGTATAAGAACGGCGAAAATATTATCTTGCAGTCCAACGGCGACCGACGTCGCCTGCGCCATTTGCATCCATAACATTTGGAATAGCTGGGAACCGTGGTCACGATGCTGGCGAGCAAAGCTGAGCAGTAGGATGCAGTTTACCATGCCACACGTGCCTTTCAAGCCGCCGGCTCCACTTGAACGTATAAGAACGGCCGAGAATATATATCCTTGGCAGTTCAACGCGCAACTGACGTCGCAGCGCCATTTGCGCCATACATTTATAGCATACTGGGGAATCGTGGCGCGATCCTGCGAGCGAAGTGAAAGCATGTAGATCAGATGTTTACCATGCCACACCTGCGTCAGCCCTGCCCGGCTCCACTGTGAACGTTATAAGAACGGCCGAAGAACTATTATCTGGCAGTCCAACGGCGACCGACGTCGCAACGCCATTTGCCCATACAATCTACATAGGCTGGAAATCGTGGCGCGGTATGCTGGCGAGCGAAGTGAAGCATGTAAGAGTAGATTTTAGCATGCACAGCGTCTTTCGCCCGCCCGGCTGCCACTTTGAACGTATATAGAACGGCGGAAGAATAATTTACTTGCAGTCAAGCGCAACCGGACGTCACGCAGCCATCTGCCCATACATATACACTCAAACAATAAAGTGTCAGAATTGAATCTAAAGTGTCCAATTGTCTACACTTATAAGAGAGTTTGCAGTTAGAGACAGCACCGTAAGTGAAATTTCAAGGTGTTAGAATATTTACACACAATGAAGTGGTTTAGTAATAATTAACACCTCGTTGGTAACATATTAACTCGTTTGGACTAAAAGCGAGTAATGACTTGCTAGGCTGGTTAATGTAAACATGCTTACACGGGAGGCGCAGTAACCACACACGAATGTACAAACCGTCATCCTATGCCTAACCCTAACCCTAACGCCTAACCCTATACCTAACTGTAAGCACTATAACTCAAAACCGACTACGGCTATCTTATTATACGCATTGTCATAGTACGCGCAAATGTAGTGCTAATGCGTGTATAACCTTTTGCTTTCAATATTTTGCATCTGAACTGCAATTCAATGTCCCAAACCAACTGGTTGTAGGCTAAGCTGGCCACAATAATGTTCATTTTTAATACTTCAATCGCGAGTGTTTTCTAGGCTCATCAAGAAAATCTTATCGTGAATTAAATCGTGAATTTAATTTCCACCGGCAATATTTTGGGGCGAACAGCGACGCATGCGCAATAAGACTGCCCTACCCGTAGGCCTGCGAGACATTAGATACGGCTGCCGTACCTCCAGCCTGCGCATGCTAAATAAACTTTATGAACAAAGAACAATTGTTAACTTTCGTGAAAGTGAGAGCAGGTAATGGAGCTCTTATATAAGAGATTGGGGAGCTCAGCTTGACACATATAGTGTAAAGTTTTGACACTAAAGAAAGTGTCACTGTTTTAACACTTTATGATTACATACCTGACACCTGTATTAATTTGAGTGACGCTTCAATTGTTATATAATATAATGTAACACTCGATAAGTGTAACTAGTTTTACACTTTAGTTTTTTGAGTGTAGCATAGCTGGGAATCGTGGCGAGATGCTGCGAGCGAAGTGAAGCATGTAGATCAGATTATTACTATGCACACGTGCTGTCAGCCTGCCCGGCTCCCACTTTGCAACGTATAAGAACGCGCCGAAAGATATTATCTTGGCAGTCCAACGGCGATCGACGTCGCAGGCCATTTGCCCATACATTAGCATAGCTGGGAATCGTGGCACGATGCTGCGAGCGAAGTGAAGCATGTAGATCCGATTTTACCATGCACACGTGCTGACAGCCTGCCCGGCTGCACTTTGAACGTATAAGAACGGCCGAAGAATATTATCTTGGCAGTCAACGGCTACAGGGCGCCATGCAGGACAGGGCTCAATTTTGTCTAACAAAACTCAATTCTGTCTCACAAAACTCACTTTTGTGCACACAACTCAATTCTGTCTCACAAAAGTCAATTTTGTGAACACAAAACTCAATTCTGTCAATCCTGTCCCACAAAACTCAATTTTGTGAACACAAACTCATTCTGTCAATTCTGTCTCACAAAAGTCAATTTGTGAACACAAAACTCAATTCTGTCAATCCTGTCCCACAAACTCAATTTGTGAACACAAAACTCAATTCTGTCAATCCTGTCCCCAAAACTCAATTTTGTGAACACAAAACTCAATTCTGTCAATCCTGTCCCACAAAACTCAATTTTGTAAACACAAAACTCAATTCTGTCGAACCGGTTCACAAAACTCGATTTTGTTGCCCAAATATGGACACACGCATGTAAGAAGGGCACACATTGGTCAGAAGAAACAAGATGGCGACCATGACACATTTCTCCAGACCCAGTTTCTGACCAATGGTAGCCCTTCTTACATGCGTGTGCCATATTGGGCAACAAAATCGAGTTTTGTGGAACCGTTCACAGAATTGAGTTTTGTGTTTACAAAATTGAGTTTTGTGGAAGCCGCGTTCGACAGAATTGAGTTTTGTGTTTACAAAATTGAGTTTTGTGGTACAGGATTGACAGAATTGAGTTTTGTGTTCACAAAATTGAGTTTTGTGGGACAGGCATTGACAGAATTGAGTTTTGTGTTCACAAAATTGAGTTTTGTGGGACAGGATTGACAGAATTGAGTTTTGTGTTCACAAAACTCATTTTTGTCAAGTTTATAGGTACAAAAATGCCTGTCCTGCATTGCGCCCCGCCCGTACCGGCGACCGACTCGCAGCGCCATTTGCGATACATTAGCATAGCTGGAATCGTGGCGCGATGCTGCGAGCGAAGTGAAGCATGTAGATCAGATGTTTACCATGCCACACCTGCTGTCAGCCTGCCCGGCTCCACTTTGAACGTAATGAGAACGGCCGAAGAATATTATCTTTGCAGTCCACGGCGGACCGACGTCGCAACGCCATTTGCCCATACATTAGCATAGCTGGCGAATCGTGGGCCGCGACTGCTGCGAGCGAAGTGAAGCATGTAGATCAGATTTTACCTGCAACACGTGCTTTCAGCCGCCCGGCCTCCACTTTGAACGTATAAGAACGGCCGAAGAATATTATCTTGGCAGTCAACGGCAACCGACGTCGCAGCGCCATCTGCCCATACATTACACTCAAACAATAAAGTGTCAGAATATGAATCGTAATGTTCAATTGGTCTACACTATAAAGAGTTCAGTTAGAGAGCAGCACCTTAAGTGTAAATTTGCAAGTGTTAGAAATTTTACACCAATGAAGTGTAGCTAATATTAACACCTCGTGGTAAATATTAACTTGTTTTGGACTAAAACGAGGTAATACTGTCAGTGTTAAATGTTAAACACTGGACTTTAACGGAAGAGCCAGTACCACACTACGCCCGAAGAAATATTATCTTTGGCCGCAGGTCAAACGCGTACAGGCGCGCCATGGCAGCGACAGGGTCTCAATTGTGCTCTAACAAAAACTCAATCTGCTCTCACAAAACTCACTTTTGTGACAACACAACTCATTCATGTCTCACAAAACGTCAATTTTGTGAACAGCAAAAACTCAATTCTGTCATATCCTGTCCCACAATACTCAATTTTGTGAACACAAAAACTCAATTCTGTCAACTTCTGCTCTCACAAAAGTCAATTTTGTGAACACAAATACTCAATTCTGTCAATCACTGTCCCACCAAAACTCAATTTTGTGCAACACAAAACTCATTCCTGTCACATCCTTCCCACAAAACTCAATTTTGTGAACACAAAACTCAATTCTGTCAATCCTGTACCACAAAACTCAATTTTGTAAACACAAAACTCAATTCTGTCGAACCGGTTCCACAAAACTCAATTTTGTAAACACAAAACTCAATTCTGTTGAACCGGTTCCACAAAACTCGATTTTGTTGCCCAAATATGGCACACGCATGTAAGAAGCTAGGGCTACCATTGGTCAGAAGAAACAAGATGGCGACCATGACACATTTCTCCAGCCCAGTTTCTGACCAATGGTAGCCCTTCTTACATGCGTGTGCCATATTTGGGCAACAAAATCGAGTTTTGTGGAACCGGTTCAACAGAATTGAGTTTTGTGTTTACAAAATTGAGTTTTGTGGAGCCGGTTCGACAGAATTGAGTTTTGTGTTTACAAAATTGAGTTTTGTGGTACAGGATTGACAGAATTGAGTTTTGTGTTCACAAAATTGAGTTTTGTGGGACAGGATTGACAGAATTGAGTTTTGTGTTCACAAAATTGAGTTTTGTGGGACAGGATTGACAGAATTGAGTTTTGTGTTCACAAAACTCATTTTTGTCAAGTTTATAGGTACAAAAATGCCTGTCCTGCATGGCGCCCCGTACCGGCGACCGACGTCGCAGCGCCATTTGCCGATACATTAGCATAGCTGGGAATCGTGGCGCGATGCTGCGAGCGAAGTGAAGCATGTAGATCAGATTTTACCATGCACAAGTGCTGTCAGCCTGCCCGGCTCCACTTTGAACGTATAAGAACGGCCGAAGAATATTATCTTGGCAATCAACGGCGACCGACGTCGCAGCGCCATTGGTCCATACATTAGCATAGCTGGGTATCTTGTGGGTGAACAGGCGATAACTGCGCACCGTCCATAGATAACGTTAACTGTTGACTAGAGCGGTCACACTGTTGATTAAGACTGTATCTTCGTGGAGTATTTGTATATAGTGTTGTGATTAGTGGTGTCAAGTGAAAGGCTAGTATATATAGCAAAGTGCTGCATAATTCCGTGTTGGTGTTTCTGTCACTGTCGTGGTTGGTCATAACGGAACGTGTCTGGCAGTCGAAGTACAAGACCCTACAAGACCCCACGTGTAATCCTTACGGGACGATCAAACACCCACAAAAGGGGGAACCGTCACAGCTGAAAGGTTGACCGACTCACAGTCCATAGTGCGACTGGTCCGCTGGTGATGATGGCAGATGATGGCTATTATTGAATGCTTTAATGTTCGTATAATATCTTTCAAGCAATACTTTATCTGTGCTGGTGTTCTGTGCGATGAGAGAATTTATATTGTAATGAAATACGCCGCGTACACACGGAGCAATTTGTCCCGGGTCTACAACTATCCGATATTGACACAGGTCGATTTTGAAGAGAGCGTTCACACGACGTTTGATCGATCAGTTCTAGGACATGCCTTGGTAAGCGAATGTGGCTCACCGCCCTTCCCGATCGTTCTTTTTTATCTACCACCTTCTTGTAAGTATTTCTTAACCGTTTGAGCCTACTATTAACTTGTTGTACAGTTTTAGCTATCACCCGCTCAGCCAGTTTTTCAAAAAAATTGTGGTAGGCTAGACGACATCTCGAGGGTCCTGTTAACTGCGCCTGTATAAAATCCGATTTCCAAATCTCGAGAAGAGCGACAGTGTCTTTGTGATACCACAGTCGATTAACCCCTTCTGCTGCTTTTTTTTTGCATTTTGACGGATATTTTAACTCAATGAAAATACTGAAAAACGAACGTGTATAGAAACTGAGAAATGCGGAAGTAAAGCGGAAGTGTACACGGACGACATCATTCTACCACCGTAATAATTTTGTCCCGTGTCGTGTGTCGGTGCACGTTCACACGGCAAAAAAATGAACCAGCGCTGGGGTCAATTTTGTCCCGGATCACTTTTGTACCGAGAAAACGTCCGTGTGAACGCTTGGCCCGGGTCAAATTTAGCCCGGATTATTTTCGACCCGGGAGAAATTGCTCCGTGTGAACGCGGCTCGTCGCATCTTGTCGTTATCCGTCGTAATAGACGCCGTCGCTCGTTAGTTGATAAGCGACAGTTAACAAGCATTGTCGGATA